TTGGAGGTCTTTTTAATATATGCCATTCTCATGGGTGAGAGACGGTATCTCATCATGGTTTTAATCTGCATCTATCTGATTGGAAGTATTGATGAACCTTTTTTTCATGTCTCTTGACTTCTAAATTTCTTCTTTGGTGAACTGTCTCTTCATATCTTGTGCCCATTTACTAATTGGGTTGTTTTATTATTGCTAAATTGTGTGAGTTTTTTATATATATTAAACATTACCCATTAATCTGCTACATATTGTGTGAATATTTTCTCCCATTCAATAGGGTGTCCTTTTAATTATCTTGCATTTTCTTTTGCTGTGTAAAAGTTTTCTAATTTGAATAGTCCCAATTGGTTATTTCTGCTTTTATTTCCCTTGCCTTGAGGGTTGGGTCACCACAAACATCTTTATCATTAATGTCATGGAACATATTCCCAATGTTTTTTCTTCTATACAGTTTATGGTTGCAGGTCTTATATCTAAATCTTTACTTCATTTGGAGTTTATCTTTTTGTATGGGATTAGCAAGTGATCCAATTTCATTTTTTTACACGTGACTTGCCAATTTTCTCAGCACCATTTATTAAAGAGCCCTTTCCCCATTTTATGGTGTTGGTATGTAAGTGGATTTATTTCTGGACTTTCATTTCTATTCCATTGATCCATGTATCCATTTTTGTGCCAATACCACATTGTTCTTAGCACTGTTGTTTTACAGTGAAGTTTGAAGTCAGGTAAAGTGATACCTACATTTCTCTCCTTTTCCTCAGGATTGCTTTGTAATTTGAGATCTTTTGTGGCTTCATATACATTTCAATATTTTTGTTCAATTTTTTTTTGAAAATGATTGCTGGTATTTTGATGGGATGGCATTAAATTTATATATAAGTTTGGGCAGGATAGTCATTTTGATTATTTTGATCCTCTTCATCCATGAGCATGGGATATCCTTCATCTTCTTAAGTTACTCCCTAAGTCCTCGAGTAACATCTTGTAGTTCTTGTTGCATAGGTCCTTTACCTCCTGAGTTAGTTAATTCCAAAGTATTTAATTCTTTTGGCATTGTTGTACTATATTTATTATTATATATTATTCTATAATAAATAATATATGCTTATTGTTTATGATATTATTATAAATATATTATAAATAAATATTATAATTATAAATGTAATAATTAAAAATTTTTTTTTGCTTTCATTCATTATTTGTATATAAAAAGATTATGTATTTCTGTACTGCTGTATTATGTAACCAGCCACCTTGCTGTATTCATTTCTTGTTTTTTGTTTTTTTTTTTTTTTTTTGGTGTAGTCTTTAGGATTTTCTATAGATAATAAAATATTGTCTGCGAATAATGATAGTTAGATTTCTTCTTTTCCATCTTGGATTATTTGTTTATCTGAGAGCTCTGGCCAAAACCTCTAATACTAAGTTAAACAGAAGTGGTGACAATGGGCATCCTTGTCTTGTTCCTAACTCGAAGGGGAAAGCTTTCAGGTTTTACACTAAGTATTATAGTGGCTGTTGGTATATGGGCCTTTATTATATTGAAGTAGGTCCTTCTATTCCCACTTTGTTTAGAGCTTTTATCATAAACAGGTATTGAATCTTACCAAATGTTTTCTCTGCCTCTGTTGATATATGATTTTTATCTTTAAATGTGTTGATATAATATACTACATCAGTTGATTTGTGTATATGCAATCCTTATATCTCTGGAATAAATCCCACTTCATCACTGTGTCTATTCCCTCTGATTTACTGCTGAACTTGATTTGCGAGTAATCAATGAGGATTTTTGCATTGTTGCTCATCAGGGATATTGGTCTATAGTTTTCTTTCCTTGTGCTGGTTTGGTAATAGGGTAATGTTGGCATCATAAAATATATTAAGGAGTATTCCCCCTTCTTGTATTTTTAAAAACAATTTTAAAGCAAGGTGGGTATTAGATCTTTTTTAAAAGTTTGATAACATTCACTTGTAAAGTCAAGGTCCTTTTGTTTCTGGAGCTGCCTTATAGTTTTCACACAGGTGATGGCTTCTGGGCACCTGTGATGTGCTGTGGAAATGTATTGCTGACTGGCATTTCCCACTATCCTAGGCAGAAGACAGCTCCCCTCTCCTGGATTCCCAGATATCACTAGCAGGTCTCATTTAGAGCTCTTAGTTCTTAGCAGCAACTGTTTACAAATCTATCTTGGCAATCAGACACTGACTCCTGGATTCCAGGAGTCACATAAGAAAGTTGTTTAGGATAGATGAACAACTGAGCATTGAGGAAAGGGCATATAGGCCATTGACCCAGGAAGGAGTTTGTGGGATGGAAATGATAGTGAGGTTGAAGGTACTAATCCCAGATGTCCGGGCTCTCTCTTGGCAGTGAGACCTGTCATCCTTGGTTCTTATAACCCTCACTGGTCCTGAATATTTAGGTGCTGCTCCTAATACCACTTTCTCCATGCATTTCTTTTGCAGAGATGAGGGAGAAAGATTTTTGGGGAGCAAACCAAGAGGGTGAGGGAGGGGAGGTAGGAGGCAGGAGCAGGGCCAAGGCCACACCAAAGTGCAGTTCACACCCCGTACAGCCCTCCCAGTACCACCCCACTATGATTCCATGCCCACACTGGTGTCTCAGCCCGCCTCCACCTCGCCCCCACAGTTGTCTCATCCTGCCTTCCCCACACCTTCCAACCTGCCTACAGGCAGCAAGATCAAAGTCACCAGGGATGGAACCATTGTTCTTCCACTTCTTGGAAAAACAGAACCCCTAAGTGCAGAAACTGGTGGAACCAGGGAGCAGTTGAGCTGGCCCCATGTGGGTCCCATTGGAGCCTGGACTCTGGCTCTAGCCAAAGCTCAGCATTCCCTCCATTTGGCCACAGACAGCGTCCATATCAGTGTCCCCATGAGCGCTTTTGCCAGGGCCCCTCCACTGTTATTGGAACACATTCTGCCTGGGGTTTCTCAAGCCATGCTCAAGAGAGAAGCCATCTCAGGATGTTCAGAATCTACTGAACCAATTTTGCATCAATAACTGGGCAGCACCAGTGCCAGCTCATGTACACATCACATTGGCCACCACTGCTGGGCTAAATTCTGGCAAAAATGAGGATGAAGGGAAAGGAAGGGGATAGACTTCAGCACACCTGAGGGGAGAGAAAGTGAAGTGTGAGTAAGCCTATTTGTGTCAGGGTGTATGTGGTAAGTGTAAGGGATAGCGGCCAAGGGTGAGAAGAAAAACAGGGGCTCAGGTTAGAGTAGATGGGGCCACACTTGGGTAATCTGGCTAAATGACTTTCCTTTTGGGACAGTTTTCCCAAGTGTGCAATCCCCGTCATCAAACCTTAGCATCTGGATGGGACTCCCGGGTCTTCTCGTCTAATTTCCCACCAGGCAAGGATGGGTGAACCCCCTGTAGATGACCCCTGCTCCCTGGAACTGAGATAGATCTGGATGCTACAGTGTATCCATTGGCACTTTAGTGTTTTTTCTCTAGCTGTTTACACAAAACAAGATTTTTTTGGAACATAAGAAGTTTGCAAACAGTAATGAAGAGTGGAGGAGGGAGTTGGAACTTGTGCTAAGTGGAATGTGTTGTCAGTTCCAAGTTTAGGCTCTGGAGGGTAAATCCCAGGCCCAGCATGATGCTGAGCTCGTGGGTGACACTCAGTAGCTTGTTCCTGCCTGATTGCCAGAGTGACCCTTCCCCTTTTTTGCTGTAATCAAAATGTGAATGTAAGAAGAATGTCTCAACACTGCTTGATCTTTTTCTCTTTTCAATTCTCACATTAATTCCAGGAAAAGTATGGGAGATCCCCTTGTATTTGGCTTGGTGAGAGGCATGAAACAAACTGCCGGCTGTCTCAGGGCAGAAACAAACTGGAAGTACCGGGTTTAGATCTGCGAATTACCATCATCTAACTGATAACGCAGTAATTTCAACAGTAACTGATGGCTTCCCTAAACAGCAGAGACAGTCACAAAACAATACACAGCTTCTCATATTAGTTTCCATCAAGATCTGGTCAATGCCAAATCATGTTCCAGCCCTCAGGATTCTGGCACTGAACCCGAGCACCAGCATCTAGGAAGCGTTCCATGCCTGCTGCTATGAATGCAATGACTGTACCATTTGAAATGATAATAGTGCTTGATGTTGATTTATATCTTTCTCAATCACATTATATTTGTATCTTATGGCCATGTTCCAAATGGACCTTTAGAAAGAATGGCATATAAATATATATGAATTTAGGTGTAACTACTTTCCACTATATGGATGCTAAAAGCATCAATACTCTGTTCTTTAAGAACTTTTATACTGTGTGACTATTTAAATGTAAGCAGTATTCATAACGTTATTACCAAGACAGTAAGACATTTGAATGAATGAATTAAAGTTGTAGACATGATTCCGTAAGTAAGGATCTCTATTCCATTCTTAAATGTATCTGCTTTGGCAACAAGGTCTTAGTATTGTTAGGAAGTGTTTTTTTAAATGGAAATTTGAATAAGGGGTGCCCAGGTCATATGTGCCAGTAAACTTGTCTCCCTTCAAAGTTCCTAAATTTTTCACAAGTCTTCATGCCCAAACTTTTCTCCTCTCTATCACTTCATTCTGGTTTCAGAATTGGGTGAGGGAGATTAACGTAGATTTGATTTAAAGGGATAACATGAGGATTAGACCCAAGCCAGCAAGGGTGGACATAGCAGTGAACTTGGAGTTCTAAACCTGGCTCCTACACACTCATTCCAGCACTAGAAAATCATCCTGAATGACCACTGAATCTCTTTAGGATTCCATTCTGTCATCCAGAAAGTGTGGGGGGCAGAAAACTCCCCGATGCTGGCTTATAATGTTGAATTGGTTGTACTTCTTAAAACACAGATTCCTGGGCCTACCCCAGGGATTCTGATTTAGGAGGTCTGGGGAAGGGCCTGAGTCTCTCTTTTGGGAAGCAGCAAATTAGTGATCTCTGACTTCTGTGCCAGAAGCTTCTTACCTGAACCCTGGGATCATCTTGGCAAAGCCAACGACCTTTTGGATGCTGTAGCTGACCAGGTCAGCTAGATGGGGCAACATGGAGAGCTGGGACAGGTCCAGAGTCACAGAAGGATCATCTGAGTCTTCTTCGTTCAGATCCAGGTTGGAGAAGTTGGTCGGTTCCATCATGTCTGGGGAGTATGAGGGAAGACAAGGAACTACTTAAGGATACATGAACCAGGATTCCTCTCGCTTGACGCTGTGAGGACTCCTGCATTCTGGTGCAGGGTCAGCTGGAATCCTGCATGAACCCCTCTCCCTGAAGGTCACCCTTCAGTCCAGGTTTCCTTATAGGATTCTCCTTGCTCTTCCTTCATCACAGTGGGGAGTGAAATAAAAGACTGGAGAAACTCCAGGAAATGAGATTTCCTCCAGACCATATACTACTGCTCTTAGTGATCTCAAATAAAATATGTATTTCGAACAAATAAACTTGTAGAAAAAAATGTTCAACTTCACCAATGATCAAAGAACTGCCAAATAGAAGAGCATCTATACTTTTTACCTGTAAACCAAAAAAATATATATTTAAATGTTGATTCCAGTATTTGTAAAGATGTAGGGCACTAGGCAACCCTTATGCAGTGGTGGGACACTAAAGGAGGAATGTATTTGTGCAAGTAATCAAGACAGCTACTTGACGAGAGGGACCAAAACCCTACAATTATGTATATTCATTGACCAGTAATCCCACTTCCATAAATTCATCATGAGGAAAAAAATTGGTATAAGAATAAATATTTAGCCACTAGCATACTGTCAAACTTTAATGGAAACTGGGAAGCAATCCAGATATCCAATGATAGGAGATTTAGACAATGTTATTGTATTTTTAAAACAACAGTCCAGATGCATATTAAATGATGCAACTATATATTGTTATTATGAAAAGAAAAAATAGTTACCAGACTGTCCATAATACAATTCCATTTCTGAATATTTGTGTGAGTATGTGTTTAACAAAAAAGATGAGAAAGAGATATATCACAGTGTTAACGGTGATTACTTTTGGGTAGTAGGATCATAAATATATATACATATATGATATATGCAACATACACACACATACACATAATTTGTTACATTTTCTAAATGCCTACATTTAGAACATATATTACTTTTGTATAAATTTTTAAAAAATTGTAAGTGTTAACTAGTTTGAATTAAAAAAGATATATACTGTAGTATAAATAGTGGGATGGGAAGCACCTCAAGTCAATTAATTTGATACTTCGGGTGTTAAAACTCCCAAGGACTTCCCTGGTGGCCTAGGGGTTGAGTCTCAATGCTATCACCACTAGGGCCTGAGTTCGATCCCCAGCCAGGGAACTACCCATATATGGCACAGCAGAGCTCTCCTGTCTCGCCCGTTGCTCCCCTCAGCAGTGTATTGCAGTCAATCTGCCTGTTCTGCTCCCCACTCTGTCTCTGGTGAATCCTCTCAACAACTCCCCACCCCTCACCTCTGGCCCACACCCCAGTTCTTCTAAGCAAGTAAATAAATAAAGTAAAGCTTCTTTTCTAAGTAAAATAAAACCCCTAAGTAATATGGAATGACTCTAAAAGCTGAAGTACAGACCTGCAAACAACATGCAGATTGACCCTCATTCATATAAATGAGCATGCCAGCAAGTGAAAAGAGCAGGAAGCAGGAGAGAGGAAACGCATACAGGGGAGGGATTCCTACAAGGCTAGGGACTCAGAGGGCCCAGCACCTCTTAGCTCCTGACCACCTCCCTCCTGTCACTCCTGGCTGGGCAGACTCAATGTCTGGCTCCACTGCATTTCTCTGCAGTTGGCACCGGGACCCTCTTACCTGTTCTGGATCTGGGCACAGAACCATCAGTGAGTCTGGTGGAAATGTATTCGTGGGTTATAGTTCCCCAGAGGGGAGAAGGCTGTCCCATCCCTGCCTTCCTGTGTGTTCCAAGTGGAGGGCAAGTGTTGGCAAAGAGGTAAAGGGATGAATGGCCAGAGCAACAGAGGGTGAGGCGGGAAGAGGATGGCAGGAGAGGGAAAGCAAGGATATGCTGGAGGTGACAGGTCCTTCAGGGCCTTGGTGGTCTCCCAGGGCTTACCAAGTTAGGGTACCATGGGACCCCACATTTTCCCTACACTCCAAATTTCACCTTCCAAAGACTCTGATACTCATAGATAAATGTTCTCTTGTTTATCTGAAATGTGTTAAGAGACTAGATTTAACAAGTTCTGTTGCAAAGGAAAAAAATCATTGTCATTATGTAAGGTGATGTATAGTAACTAAACTTACTGCCATTTTGCAATATTTATCAGTCACACCTTAACCTGATACAGTGTTTTATATTAACTATATCTCAATAATACTGGAAAAAAAAAAAACAACAAAAAACCACAAAGGCCCCAGACTCAAAATACCATTTAAAGGAACCAGTCACCCCAGAGAGGGAGCCAGGTACAGAAGTCTGGCTCGAAGGATCTTGTGGGTCAGAACCCCGGTTTGGCCTGCTTCCTAGCATAGGCCCTGGGGTAGTGACCCCTCTATTGTCAAAATAAAAAAGGTAAAGTTTGTTTGGGGACGTGAGCATCACGCAGAACTAATGTGCTACCCATTGTCTGCAGCCTGGACAGGTGCGGGCGGCAGTGGGCTCCTCTTCCACTTGGGCTTGCCGGGAGGAGCACTTACCTGGAGACGTGTAGTGGTCTGAGCAGGAGGAGGATGAGTCTCCAGAAAAGCTAGGCGTGTAACTTGAGCATGGCTTTGCGGGGTGGCTCCCTCCATCCTCCCCCAGGCGCACAGGAGGCTGGAAGGTAAAGGTGGAGAATCAGGAGCGCCCATTTCAGGGCCACCTTCCCACCCGGGCCCTGACAGGCCTCTCGAGTGCCAAAAGGACAGGCCGGCCTCTGTCCCTTCCCCAGCTCCAGGCCAGGATGCCTGGTCCCTCCATCCCACTGCCTTTGCGGTGGCTGCACTGGCCTCGTTGTCCGGCTCACCCTCCCAGCCCTCAGGTGCACCCTCCCAGCCCTCAGGTGCACATACGCGGAAATGGCTGAAGTCGGCGTAGGTGGGGTCGTAGGTCTTGTGGTGAGCCTCCAGCAGGATGGCGATGATGCGCTGCTGCTCCTCCGACAGCTTGGGCCGCAGGCTGTCCTTCAAGGCCTCTTCCTCCTTCCGTTTCAGGATCATCTCACGCTTGCGCTGCACCTCCTCGTCGGTGAGGATGACTGTGGGCAGACGGAGGGTGAAGGTGAGTGAGGGCTGGGCTGCAGCGCCTCGGGGAAGCCTCCCTCCAGGTGCTAAGGGAACAAGATGGGAACTGGTGTTCCCTCCAAGGGCCTTTCCTGCCACGGGAGACTCCAAGCTCTCTGAGATGGAAATCTGGATTTTCGTTGAGAGGGTTTCTATGAAAGTGCAAATGTATGAGAGTGGGGGGAAAAGGAGGTGATGGCGGAGTAGGCTGGGGTTAAGGATTCTGGGTTCTCCCGAACAAGCTGTGTCCTCTGGGCAAACTGTTTCAACTCTCTGGGCCTTTGTTCTCATTTATAAAACAAAAAGTTTGGACCATATAATGTCTTCTAAGGTTTCTTTTTCATTCCCGCCTCCATGAAGGGTATGTTTGTATTTGGAATCATAAAAGCTTCCTGAGCTGACCGGCTGTCCTGAGCACTGAATGTCGCTAGGACAGAGCAGAGACAGTTAAACACAATTCTGCACACCCCCCCCCCAACATTCCATGATCCAGAGGGAGATATTCCGGTGCAGAGAGGGTGAAACACCACTGTGTGAACAGTCACAGTAGGAAGCTAGGAGACGCCTGCTGGCCATTCCCATGTCCACGTTTTCAGACATGGAATTGGAACATTCATCCACTCTAATGCTGGAAGACTTTGCCTCTTGGGTCCCCTGCAAGACCGGTCTTCCTCAGTCTGTCCAGTCTTGAAATTTCTGCCCAAGGAAGTTATTATGTCCTCTTGAATCTCCTTCCCACCCCCATAATTCCTCATTGCTCTAATCTGCATATTCTTTTCATCTGCTAGTTGGGGTGACTGATGAGAGAGAGCCCCAAATCCACCTTCAGGCTCATCAGGGACTTGGGGGATTTGCCTCACTGCTCTGGGGCAGCTGCCTGGGAGGGTGGGGTCAGGAGCAGGTATGCCTGGCATAGCAGCCGGGCAAACAGACCTCCTGGCTAGGGCTTGCAGAGCGCTGACGGCAGGAGTGGGCACTGGGGCCTGCAGCCTGTAGCTACTTGTTGGTGCCGTGGCAGCTGCCCACAGAACTGGGGCGTTTCACAAGAGTAGGGAAAGGAACCAGAACCCCGCAGTAAGGGGGTTCTGTACTTAAAGGAGACCCCGGTCCCTCAGAGGGGACAAGAGAAATTGGGGAGGGGGGAGAGCCTGAGGAGGATGGAAGAAAGCCCACACTGCCTTGGGCACAGTGGGAAAGGAAAACCTGAGGCAAAAGATGTGTTCCCTCCGCAGCTGAGGTAAGCCGTGAAGAGGAGCCTGGGAGGAGGCCACGCCCAGGGTACTGACTCACCTGCCCAAGGAACTGCCAACCCTCCTCCCACGGAGGGTGTCTGCTTAGACCCTAAGAGGTCAAGTAGGGTGGGAGAAGAAGGAGCAGGGAACATCCCATTCAAGGCAGGGCACAAGGCTCTTGCCTGGGGAAGCTAAGATTAGGTGTCTGGTCTTTCCTGCTCATCTGAGGGTCAGGCGGAGCTGGTGATGAGCCTAGGCTGGGGCTGGCTCTGTCAGCCGAGCTGCAGTGCCCTCAGGCATGCTCCTCAACCCAAAAGCGCTTTGATAATTCCTTGTGACTTTATGGGGTCGCTCCTGTGCACAGTCTTTTTCTGGATTTTTCCTAGTTACTACAACCAGCAAAGTCTTGACAAGCCCATGTCAAGATTCTCCACAATTTCACTTCTTTCTACCTCTTGGCTTCTTCCCAAGCTCATTTCCCAGTAGCCCTAGACACGGTGTCTGCTTGACTCATTTTGGGGGTGCTGACCCATGACTATGGTATGTTCATTTTTTGCCACCAGATTCCCACCTCTGCTGATGTCCCCTGATCTCAGTCTTCTCTCCCCAACAGCCATGCAGGTTCTCTGATCTGAGTGCCAGTGTACAGCTTTCCCTATTGCCATGGAACCCTCGTTTCTTATTTCTGTGCTATGTCTAGTTTCCCACTCACACTGACATGCAATTATCTTCCACTCTGTAATATTTATAGCTAGTGTGGTTTCCAATAAATACTTGTATATGGAGGGAGTCTAAGAACTCAAGGTCTCCTTTACTAGACTATAGGCTACTTATGGGCAGGGACCACACATTACAATTCCCATGTCTCCCCCAAAAAGGCTGGCTAAGGGGGGTGTCCTGGTCATGGTGCTAACTCAAAAGTCTTGACAGATTGGACACCCAACACACTAACACTGATCATGCCTACGAGGTGCTGACCAATGCCTTGGGCTCGGGAGTGGACAGTGAGAAGTGTACCAAGGCTGGTGTAATGCAGTGTTGCGAAGGCACACACCACATGCAGGCCAGACTGAGCAAGACTTACTTAGCTGTTACACTTAATAGTGATTGAGGGCCTCCCTAGTGGCGCAGGGGTTAAGTCTCAGTGCTTTCAAGCTAGCCACAGCCACTGCAGCACAAGTTCAATCCCCAGCCAGGGAGCTAACCCACATGGCACAGCAGACCTCTCCTGTCTCACCCGCTGCTCCCCTCAGCAGTGTATTTCAGTAGCTCTGCCTGTCCTGCTCCCTACTCTGTCTCTGGTGAATCCTCTCATCCCCGCACTTCTGGCCTATACCCCAACTCTTGTATGCATTAATAAATAAAATAAATATTAAAAAAAATAATAGTGATTGAAATATTTTCAGGACAGAATATCTTGCAATGGGATACTTGTAACAACAAGTAACCTTTTCTTGATAATTCAGAGGCATCATTCTGAACAACTCATGGACTTTTCAGGAAAAAGGCTGTGACCTTGTAGAGAGCTGTTGCCTGTATCTATGACTCAACCTGTTAAGATTTATTGTGCTACTTTTCATAACTCTGTCTTCCCTTCGGTTATGCTGTGTGTTCTGATTGGTGTCTGAGATTGACTCTTTCTCCACTGAGAGTTACTTTTTTTTTTTTTTTTTTCTGAGAGTTACTTTTAATCTCTTAGGAACTGGAAAGCCTGGCGATCAAGGTTTATGTGTTAAAAAGCCATGTTAATAAAAATGGATGTCAGAGACTATTTTATGTACTGGCCACTATGCTAAGTGCTTTTCATATATTAACTCAATTATTTTGTCCTTGTAACAATCCCTTAAGGCAGATGTTATTATCTCCCTTTTGCAAGTGAGGGAGCTGTGGTTTAGAGAGGTTATACAACTTGCTCAAAACCACAGAGCCGACATGTGGTAAAGCTGGTATCTAGGCCTCGCAGTGCGGCTCTAGAATCCAGCCCATCGCAACCACTACCCCCATCCCACCTTTGATTCTTATCAGCTCTGACTTCTCAGTGAGACTGCCTCTCAGCCGTGGAGTCCTGACACACAAGGTGTCCCAATCCCACTGAGGAGTGTGAAACACAGAAGTAGCAAAGTTTACAAATGATTTACTTTAAAAGGACAGAGTTGAGAAGGTTCAATGTTAATGCTGGAACACTATCTCTCTTGTATCAAATAACCACCAGCCTCCTGTGTGCAGAACTAGAGGAATAAATGCTAACAACTGCTGGCTCCAAATAGGGCCTTGCAGCCCTTTAAGTCTCTCACATATGCAGATGCTGTTGTGATTGATAAAATAAATAGTTTGTTTAAAGGGATTATCAAATTCATAGGAGATGTTTTTATTATTTTATCAATGAATTGCTATTAAAAAGAACATCAATTTCATGTTGGAAGACATCTCTTTTGGAGTCAAAAACCACTGACCTACAATAAGAGCAAATAAATTCTGAAAGAACATTTGACGAACTCTTAGTGAACAAGGTCGTGATCTGTAGACATGGACTGTGAAATCCCTATCAACCCTCAGTAGCTTTTCTGCCTTCCTTTGAAGTTCTTTGTTCAGTGCATAAATGGCTTTGAGCAAGTCATTTCTGTGCAAAATGTCCCTGTCCCATGAAATCTAGAATGGAGTTAGGAAGCCAAGATCTAAAAATGCAAACAACTTAACAACATTTCAGGTTGGCCCTGCTGGCCTAAGCGTATCATGGAAGTAGAGATACATTTTTTTCCAAATGAATGACACAGACATATCAGGTTTGGGAGCAGCTCCTGATCTATCAGCCAGTGGCAGATGTAGAGATAGAAAGCAGCATAAAGGGAGCTAATACCCTGGGTTCTCACCTCCCTTCATAGGGAGCCCTGGGGCGTCTTGTGGTTTTACAAATGTTGACACTCAATTGTCTCTGGAAGGATAGACCGTGGGGACAGCAGCCAGCACAGGTGAGATGTGACTAGCTCTCCCAGGGTTCTGCGCTGGCAACTCCAGGCCCAGAACACTGCCAGGCTTCCCAAGCAGGGCTAAGTTGAAGCAGGGGACTACAGCTCTTCCTGCAGAACCTTCCCTTCAGTAGGGAAAGATGAGTCTGGCGCCCACCCAAGGTTCCTACGTCAGGGGCTCAGGCCCTGAGAACTCATCCCCACCAGTCCAGGCCTAACTCTGTGCAGCTCTTGCATGGGCGTCACAAGAACAATAGGCACAGGCTATCCTGGGCAAAGCAGGACAGGTGGCACAGGGCTGGGGGAGGACGAAGGCTAGGGCCAGGGTAGCTGAGGCTCAAAGCCGACTGGGTGCTGGAGGCGGCATCCATTTCTGGATTGTTCCCCCTTACTCCTCCCGCCCCACATGGTGTCCCAGGGGAAGGGTCCCCTAACTCACTCATGGCTATCTCGTCACCATGGATGCAGTGACCTCTGTGGGGATCTGGGGGGATCTAGGAGGGGACGTCGCATTGGAATACAACTTGTTTTATGACTCCAACCCTGACATTTTCATCTTTCTGGGTCTCAGATAGTTGCTAAGTGTTCATCCTTATTCTCAATTAATGAGATATCTCCATCCTACTGAATCACAGGCAGGGAATCTCTGGGACATCAGCGGAGCTGGCCCTTCCCCACATGCCTATGGCAGAGCCCAGCTGAAGCCCAGTGGTGTCACTCTGAGCCATATATTCTTGGCTGAGCCTTGGCATCCAGGCTCCTGTGGGGCTGCTGCTCTGAGGGAGGAGGGACAGGAGCTGTGCGAGCTGCATTTTGTTTGTGTCCACCCTGGTGCTTCGCACAGAGCAAGTCCCAGCGTGTGAGAAGCCAATGTGTGAGCAGCCCCATGAGGCACCCAGGCCTTCACTGCTCCAGGATAAACACAGGAGGCAGGGCGGGGCAGGGGACTGGGCTAGGAGCCGCCAGCGTGCCCAAGCCTGCATGCCCCATAGGGGCGAGGAGGAACTACAGACTGGAAACTTCTTCCATGACTGCCAGTGTTGGCTGGGGAGCAGGAATCAGGAGTGAGGGGCTATGACCCATGAAAGGGGAGGCTGTCCAGATCCGAGGAGGAGGCCCAGGTGACAGCCTCTGCTCTGCTTCTGTTTCCCAACAGCAGCAATTTTTCCCCCACTAAGGAAAAGCCTTCTTCTCCCCTAAACCTTGTTCTGTGACTTTCCCCTTTTTCTGGACACATCTTCTGGAACTGCTTTTTCTCCCCTCCTCTGCCTCTCTCCAAAATGGCCCTGCATCTGAGTACCCTCTTCAGGTCCATAACATAGTAGGGCCTAAGCCCCACCCCAGGGTCAGAGCGGGGTCAGGGTACAGACTGCAGTGAGCCAGGGGCAAAGCAGGGACTGATGTGGAGGGCACCCAAGCCTGGGCTGGCCTAGGGCCCTTGCTTCCACCCAGGGAGGGCCCAGCCAGTCCCGCCCAGGGCCTTCTGAATTCGATGACTACTCTAGTTATCAAATAACTGGTACTAGAGTTCAGATGCAAAGTCCAGGGATTGTTTTCAATAGTGAGTCGGAAAATATACACCTGCCCCCCTGGACCTCTCCTCCAACCCCAGAGCTGGAAAGGAAGTGTCACAGCATTGCTGCTGTTTCTCCATTGGCTCTAGAGGGTCTCCTGGGAGTCATGCTTCCCTTCACAGACTCTTCCTACCTGGCCTCCCTGGGCACAGCCCTCAGATCTGTTTTGGGGGCTGGAAGATTGGAAGGCTGGGGTGGCACAGAAAGGGATGCTAGCCAGGCTCAGAATATTTATTCTCCAGCCCCTCCTGTCTTTCCTCCAAGCAGCTCTCTGTCCCGAAATCTTGAGCCTCATCCTTTCCCCCACAGACCCAGGGAACAGGATAGAGGAGGTGTGATAACATCTTGGAAGGCTGCCCTGGGGGTTTCATGAGACTGCACCATGTTTTTGCCTCCTCAAAGGCCTCTAAGATACATACAGACCCTAGAGGGGCTTGTGGGACCCCTGGTGTCTTTGACTCCTGAGATCCAGCAACCCTGGCCCATGCTTCTGGCCCCACTTAGACCCTAGTTCCTGGCCCCTGATGCCATGCACTACTGAGGAAGGGCTGGCAGGCGTCGGGCCAAACCTGCACAGCAGCACCCAGCCCTGGGCCCCAACACTCACACTCCTTCATCATGCCGATGTCCACACAGCGCTTGAGCCGGCAGGCCTGGCAGTGGCGCCGGTTGTCCTTGGTGATGCGGCAATCTCCGTTGAAGGGACAGGTGAACAGCGCCTTCCGCTTCATGCTTCTCCTGCCAAAAGAGTACAGGCCCTGCACTGAGTCGCTGATGTCCCAGCTTCTCAGCCCAGGCTTCGGGAGAACACCTTGCAGGGACTGTGGCCAGGGAGACCTGCTCATTGGGTCCCCAGACTTCCACTTCTTCCCCAGAGGACTGGGGACCATCGTAGCTGGGCCACTCTCAGTAGCCGCCTTCCACCCAGGCTGTGTGCAGCAACTGTGCCCTGTCATTGCCTATGCTGGCACCCAAAGCTTTCCTGCTCTTTTACAGTACTCTATTCCTTCCCCCTCTCTTTTAAATTAGGTAGGGAGGGCCTCCCCCATGGCACAGCGGTTGAGCGCTGGGTTGCGAAGCTGCCCGCAGCCTCTGTAGCCTCCATCCCCGGCTGCAGGGGAGGGTCCCACATGGCGCACAGACCTCTCCTGTCACCCGCTGCTCCCCTCAGCAGTGTACTTTGTCAGTCTGCCTGCTCTGCTCCCCGCTCTGGCTCTGGTGAATTCTCTCACCCTCCCGCACGTCTGACTGTACCCAGTGCTTGTATAAATAATAAATAAATCTTTAAAAAATAAAAAATAAATTAGGTAGGGAATATATGAATGAATTTGTGTGTCTTCTTCCTTTTTTTAAATACTGAAATCTGCAGAGTTGTCCTCATCGTTTTTGGGGAGGCACCATGAGATGAGAGGATGTCAGTCTCAGCTTTAAGTGTTCTCAAGTCCAGAGATGTGTGACTGGAGCCTCCCTGATCCAGGGACAGACACACTCACAGGGGCCTGGAGGGGGGGAAGGGCTGGGCCGAGCGGTGCAGACCTAGCAGACCTTGCTCGCACCAGCTCTGTCTCCAAGAGACTGTCCAAAAAGAGAAGAGGCCAGATGAGCAGGGGTGGGGAGGTGCCCTGAGGTCTGGCCTTGACTTTCCAAAAAGTAGAGAAAGAAAGTGTTCTATAAGAAGAAAATTGCCACAGGGATATTTGCTAACAAACCAGCATACCCCTGGCATCCTGTGCAAAAGTGAGTGTGTGCAAGCGTGGACTCATTTTCCTAATTCCAGTTTTTTCTCCAGCTGCCAGCCACACCACCTGGGATTTGCTGAGGCTGCATAAAGGACAGCTCCCTGGGGGCTTCTCATCATCTGTGTTCTGGAGGTTCCTCTAACTCTTCCCTGTGTTTCCACATTTTTGCCCCAGGACAGGTGAGAGAACTTCTCTGGGGAAAGATGGTGGCAGAATCACTGTGAGTAGCAGCATCTTCCAAAGAGACATGGAGATGCCCTCCAAGACAGAGGCCAGACTCAACCATTTCTCTGTCCCGGAGATCAGCTGGTGAGAGCACCTTCTCCAGCTGTCACGCTGTGACTCACTGCTCACCTTCTCACCTTTGAGACATCTCACTGCTCACCTCTGGAAGGCACACGGGCAGTTAGGGCAAACACTCTACCATCAACAATCCTGCTTTAGCAAATGGACAAATGGGGACCAAACTGACTTGAACTGGGGATGGGGGAGGAGGCCAGAAGATCAGTTCTGCGGGCGACCACCAGCAGTGAGACACTCAGATCCCAAGGACGCCCAGAGACCTTTAGTGGAGCCCCATTTCACAGACGGGACCACTGAGGTGAGGACACTCATCAGGAGGCAATTCAATAAGATGTGAAGACTCCCAAGTTGGAAATCTTAGGGATGAGAAGCTTAGCTTTTAGCTTCCTGGATTGAAAATACTATTTTTATCCCTGAAACTCAAAGTGCTAACACCACAGAGATGCAGCCAAGGAGCTGCCAAGGCACTGCTGCTCAATTGGACTGGGTTCCCCGGGGCCCTCCTGCCACTATCCTGGTTACCCAGGAGGCCCACCAGCGGGCAGGGCTCTGCAGGGAGGTGGAATAGCGCCAGGCTGTGGGGGTCCAGCCCACCAAACCCTGCCCCTACAGGGTCTCCCCAGGGAGAGACTATAGACCAGGTTGCTGCCGACATTTATGGAATAGGAAACCTTTCCCCCTGAGCTTCTGCTGTGGCTTGCTGGAGGGACAGGGGAACATGGAAATATTTGGTTAGGGCGACTGTTAGGGCGACTTGAAATGGAGTTGTCTCATCACCACAGGGAATATCAGTGTATTCCAGGACATGGGACTGTTCCCCACTGTTACTTCATTCCCACTTTGTGGTCAGGATCCAGAATGTCCATAATTCTGGAAGGAAGGGAGGGAGGGAGGGAAGAAAGGAGGAAAGAAGGAAGGAGTTACAAGTCCTGTGCTTTTTACCTTTGGCCACACCTTGTCCCAAAGCGCAACCTTGTAGTATGTCTCCACATGATTTGAGTAATGCAGGAAGCAGCCTATTAACATGATACTATAAAATTATTATTATTAAAAGCAGCTAGCTCTCCCTGGCTCCTTTAAGTATAGAATCAGGAGAAAGACTCTGGAATTGAATGTAACTGGGAAGATGGGGTCACACATCATAAAGAGCATCATCACACTCTGGGGTGTGGGTCAGTGTCCAGGGGATGGATACCCCCTCGCCAGTTCCAATAGGCCACCCCTGGTCCTTCCTGGAGCCCAGATCTGGGAGATGGATTTCAGGTGTGTGTGGTCTGGCACAGGTAGTTGCCAGCCACAGGGCCTGTGGACTCTGAGGCCCAGATCTTTCCCTCCTGCCGCCGAGGGCACTTCCACACACGCGGCTGTCATCTAGCCTCTGACCACAAGGAGTCAGGGCAGCCAGACTGGCCCCAGCTTTGTACTTTGTCCTGCGGAGCCACGCCCTGCCCTGCCTTTCTCCCAACAATAATTGCCTGTAAGCTGGTTTGGTTTGAGAAACAAGAGCCTCGGGTTTCCATGGGAGCCTGTTACCACAGCTACTCGCCAAGCCTGGACCCTGTCATCCTCTGGATGGTTGGCAATTATACCTCAGCTCAGGAAAAGGGGTAGGAGTGGTGCAACCAGGCTAAATATAGATGCAGTTTCTAGAAAGCCAGGGGTGAGAGAGGACATTGACCGATTCTTGTGCCAGAGACCAATTCATCAAAACATGAGAGATAGCAGCTCACAAAAGCATCAAATGCCCAGGGACAGAGGTCCGGGTCTGGGACAGCAGGGTCTCTCTGAGTAGAGAGCCCCTGCCAGCAGAGACATACCTTATATGACCCAAGGCTGGGGCCCAGTGCCAGCTCTGGACTTTGCCTCCACTGAGCTCTGAGTCTACAGTTTCCAGAACCTGCTGAGGCTCCAGGAGCCTGGTGGCTTTCCCGACACAAAAGCCCTCTGTGTCTGATGGGGGACCCACAGGCCACATTTGTATGTGACACACCAAGGGGTCTCAGCAGGAAAGTTTGAAAAACAACTTTAAAGGAAAACAGATAAACATTGTAGCAAAGAACACAGGTTTCTTTTTTTGAGGGCTGTTTGGCAATATCCACCAATATGCAAAATCCAGAGTCTTTCTCAGTGAATTCACTTCCAGGAACACATCCTGTGGGTGGGTCCTCCATGGGCCCAGGGACACACGCACAAAGGCAGTTACTGGAGGAGCAAAAGGGAACCTGCATGCTCCTCAACTGAGAACGGGTTCACCTGAAGTCTCATATCACACAAGCTGGCCATGGAAACGACAGAGGAGAAATGTTGAAACGCAACATGCTTGCAGAAACGCTCCTAGGTCAATAAAAGCCAAAGGCAGAGGTGAGTGTACAGACACACAGACATGTGGCCACACATGTCTGTAAAGGATCTGGAAGCAAACGCCGTGAGCTGGTAACAGCAATGACTTTGGGGAGGAGGCAGGAGCCTGAGAATGGGACTGAGACCTTTCCCTCACAGGCGCTATTGAAATGTTCGCGTCTTTTCTTAAAGCACACACACGCATTTCTCAAAAGAACAAGCCACCACCCACTTTATTTTATTTTTTATTTTTTTATTTTTTTAAGATTTATTTATTTATACAAGCACTGGGTACAGTCAGAAGCGCGGGAGGGTTAGAGAATTCACCAGAGCCAGAGCGAGGAACAGAACAGGCAGACCAACGACATACACTGCTAAAGGGAGCGGGTGCGGCAGGAGAGGTCTGCGCGCCATGTGGGACCCTCGCCTGGTGGCCAGGGATCGAACCAGCGCGGCAGAGGCTGTAGGCAGCTTCGCAGCCCAGCGCTCAACCACTGTGCCACCAGGGGAGGCCCCACCACCCACTTTATTTAAAAATTTAAAATGAAATATAGGATTTGATTAGATTGATCTGCTTGGGGTTTAAATCCTAGTGCACAGCCTTGATTAAGTTACTCAAACTCTCCTTGCTGCCACAGTTCCCAAGTCTATAAAATGCAAACAGCCCTACCAAGGGATTGTTGTTAGCATTAAATAAAGGAAACAGGAGCTGGCACAAAGGAAGCATTAGAAGCAGGAAGGAGAGAAGCCAGCAGGGAAGGTCGGGGAAGAGTGCTGAAGGGCGGCTGAAGAAGGCGCTATTTAACCATCCCCGGGAGGGAGGACATGAGACCTGGAAGCAAGCCCCATGTCTACATCTCACACCTCCCTGTGTGCCCGGGGTAGGCCCTGCAGGCAGAGTTCTAAACACACGGTTACTTTATGTGCTGTTGGTCTTTGGGCAAGTTACAGTGGCCATCGACCAGACCATGGTCCAGATGCTCTGAGCACCAGCCAGTGACTGGGGAACTCTGAGTAATGTGGGGGGATCTCTCAGAGCCCCTGGCCCAGCTCTGCCTTTCTCATACATGATATTTAAGTACTTCTGTTCAGGCACCTTTTCTCAGAGACCGCTGCCAACACACCTGGTCACACCCACTCCTGGTTCCATGTTAGAGGAGAGGGAAGGATTGTCTGTTCTCAGAAATAAGTCACAACAAAGGAACAATAACAGCTGTGGCTTAGCGAGCGCCTCCTATACCAGCACCTCACATGTCCTCTCAAGGCTCACAGGAGCCTTTCGGGAAGAGAATTACCCCTATTTCATAAGTGATATGAAAAGGCACTGGGGAGTTATATAACTTGCTTAATGTCAAAACAGCTAATGTGTGTGAAAGCTAGGATTAGAGTTGAGATCTGTTTGATACTCCATGCTCTGGTATTCTTACATAACATGGTGCTCATTGTGAATCTACTACATCTAATCCAAGCCGGAGCAGCGGTCTGAACTGGGCCCCCAAACCTCAGGGGGTAAAACAAAGGCCCCTGGAAGGACTCCTCTAGGACAAGTATTGGGGTAGAAGTGGGGGGTTTGGGGAGTCCCCTGGTGGTGCAGGCGGTTGAGCGCCGCACTATGAAGCTGCCCGTAGCCTCTGCAGTGCTGGTTTTATCCCGGCTGTTTGGCCGGCAAGGGTCCACATTGCGTGGCAGACCTCTCCTGCCTTGCCCGCTGCTCCTCTCAGCAGTGTATTTTGTCAGTCTGCCTGTTCTGTTCCCTGCTCTGTTTCTGGTGAACCCACTCACCCTCCGTGCATCTGGCCTGTACCCCGCTTCTTGTATAAAGATAAATAAATCTTTAAAAAAAAAAGAAATGGGGGGTTTGGAAGTGTGGGTAGCCCCTGGCCATCCTCTCCATGGACCCTGTTCTGCCATAGCATAGAGGGTCACAGGGGGTTGCTGCGAGGGAATTTATGCAAACGAGCCCTGATTAGATGATCAGATTCCTAAAGAATTAGAACACTGACCAAAAATACATAAAGGTCTTCAGCATATCTTGCAGCTTTCTTGACGACTCCAGTGACATTCATTCTCCAAATATTCTGGCCTCTAACAAAGCTTCGTAACACTACTCTCAGCCTATCCATTCTCCTCCCGCCCCACCCGCTCTTCCATTCACATCCTTGAGCAGCTGTGGAGTGAGGTCGGTTGTCAAGCTGCCCTGGACAAAGTTCTCTCCTGCAACACTGACTTCTCAGTAATTCATTCACTGGTGCCCACAGGATGCCCCATGCAGGCCCTCCCCCTCTTCATTTAGTCTATTGTCTTTAAGCACTTTAAATTTTAAGTCACTGGACATCTGCCTCATTTCTTACTTCCCTTCACATGGCAGCTCCTCCTACAAACATCAGCTGGGGAAACTTAGGGAAAGCCAGAACATTCCTCATGTTCTTGGGTCCTCACCAAACTGCATTTTTCTCTGTATTCCATAAGACCCTTAATTCACAAGACCCCAAGAACCTTGGGGCTAGCAAACAAGAGGGCATTTCTCACCCATCTCTGTGATCTTGGGGCTCAGGCAGCACACAGCTTCACTGTGACCTCACCAAAGAGGCAGAGGGAGGAAGAAGACAAGATAGAGAAGCCATCCATGAGTGGTTGAGTAGGCTCCCTGAAAGCAAGGACTTGATAGTGTTAGGGGGAAAAGGATGTCCTAAAGCTAATTCCATACAGCCTTTGTGGACTCCACCCCCACCCCAGGCCAAAGCCAAAGACACTGGGAACTCCAAATCCCATCACCACCAAAGGGAAGGTGACTGGGACCTGAGGGTGGGGTTAAGCAGCCAGGTGGATATAAAAGGCAGACACGTGGGCTTTGGGGGATCCCCATTTTGGCTCTCCGCCAGCTCGCAGCGTCCGGCCAGCTCTGAGAGTGCCTTTGGGTTTCCAGGTCGTCGGATAGGGTAGGACGCATTAAAGACTTTATTTCCCTATTTTCTCCCTGAGTTGTACATTTTCCTTATTTCCTTTTCCCTTGTAAATAAACCTTTTATTAACCTTTTGTGTGTGCCTGTAGTGGAGTATTAATAAGTCCCTTTTAAGCGCGCGGGTGAGGACCCACAGCCAGGAACCCGTTCAATATTGGGGCTGCTCTATAACAATAGCACTTATCGCCGTACCTCTGTGTCAAAGATGGGGTGCTTGCCACAGAGAAGGCTCCACCACTGACACAGCTTTTCCTTTCGGATCAAGATTTCACACAGAGATAAAAGCTACAAAAGGATTCTAGAACAACTATTTGAACTAGGCTAAAATGGAAAAATGCCAAATAGAATTTGGATGATGCAAAGGAGGAGAAATTGGGGGCTGGGGGGAATGAAAAGGGGAAATCACATATATATTCAGTCCTTACTTGCAATTCACAGTAATTGCATTCGATAAAGTTGCCGTGAACACTGAATAAATACTGAGTAGAAACCATGGCTCCTCGGGAAACACAGGTTGAAGTTGCCACCAGTGTCAATTGATGAATACACTGTATTCTGTGTAATATACCTTATTTGATATATACTGTTGATTCATTCACGTTAAACTCCTGGCTGACAACTCTAGCTCATGTCTGATGCAGCTCACCTAACACCTGGACTTTCCCGCGTGGCATATCACACACTCTCTTGCCTTCAGGGACACTTGACAGCACTTCCTCACTATGCTTGGGGTGCAGCCAACACATCATCATCAAAAGCACAAAGATGCAAAAGAAAAAGTGACTAATAGACTACGAGGACGCTTGTTCACAGCACAAGAGCTGAGACTAAGGTGAAGTCACCTGGCTTGGCCTCTGCAGGCGTGTGCGCCTGGGAGACTCAGTTCTCTGCCCCCACGTGTCTGCCAATGACCACAAAAGCACTTGAGTATTAATTTGACAACAAGTAAATTTTAGCAGCAAGCCAAATTTGCAAACACAGAGTCTACAAAAGATAAAAATTGTGTGTGTGTGTGTCAGTTACAATTCGAGCCAAACTAGAGATGTTGGCTCTCCAGAAAGTGCAGCCTGACTCAGCCATCAAGGAGGACAGTAAAGCTAGAAGGCAGACTGAGGACAGGGTGACAAAACAAAAGCGGTCTCTGTCCATCGCCCGGCCCTTGAGGCAGGGGCTGCAGCCACCGGTCAGCAACAGGCTCTGTGAGGGCCTGGAAAGAGGAGGGGAGAGTGGCCCACACAGCACACACACCCAGGTAAGACACAGTCATGCATACGTGCTGACGTGAGTGCGTGAGGTAGGACCTCCAGGGAGAGTCCCATGTTGCCAGCACCTCTCCCAATACCTGGATCGTAGATGCTCATTAAAAATCGGCTGAGGGAGGTGTAATAGAAAAAAAACAAAAGGAGGGTGGATGGTGAGAAAGACTTCTGTTTGTTTTTTAAGGCAGAGTTCCACTGAGGACATCAGTATCGACACATCAGATTCAAAAACAATATACTTATATTGCACTTTATGCTTTTTTGAAAGCACTTTTACATGTCATCTCATTGACCCTCAGATTCACTCTGCATAGTAGAAGGGTCTGATATTCACATGCCCGTGTGCTGAGTTGGGGTAACCAAAACAAGGAAATTGAGAATTTGAACAAGGACATGCAGTTAGTTAATGGGACGGTCAGCATTACTGCCCACACATTTCTGACTGATATAATGATAGGAAGTAGGCCCCGTTATGGGCTCCCAGACCCCTTCTCTATTATTACTCAGAAACCAGCTTCCCCATTCCCAGGTCCTGCCAGGGAAGGTCCAAGTGGCCCCTGGGACACACAGCCCAGCTCTGGAAGGCCCACCCCACAGGAAGTGCAGGCTTTGGGCCAGAGCTACGTGGCAACAGGACCTGGAGCCAGCGATGTGGCTGGTCTGGTTCCCCAAGATGGGAGCATCCTGCCAGGAAGTCAAGCAGCCACTGGGCCAGGCCAAACAGGCAATTAGCACCCACAGAAACCCCGAGGCTCAGCGACTGCTCAGGGCAATGAAACTCAAGGCCTGCTAGTTCCTGGGACAGAGGGCAGGTGAGTCAGGAGTCACGATTGTAAGGAGCCAGGAGTCCCTGAACTGGGGGAGAAGGCCACTTAGGTCCCCCCTCCAATGCACTCTGCCAAGCCCATGACCTCAAAGCTCAGGCGACCAGGCAGACCTTCCTCTGGACTCCCTCTTTCCTCTCTTAATGGCTGAAGCCTGGGCCTTTACTTGCCTCCAATAAGACATTATATAAAAATCTCTTTGGTGGCTTCCTTCTTCCAGGACTTCCTTTCTTTTTCTCAATCTTATATGTCAAATGCTAATTTCTCATGGTTCCCTGTCTCATCCTGCAATCTATCACTTTCCCTTTCCTATCCTTCACACGCTGAATGGGGACATCTTTCCTTTGGCCTATGCAGTACCTTATGCACTTGTGATGCTAGACTCACATAAAAGGAGAAGAGGTTGCCGCGGAGAAAATGGACCAGCTGAACAGGAATGTTGGTGCATCACCGGCATAGTTTGGGCACTCTGAGGTTGGCTTTCTGAACTGGGGCAAGCAAACCACAGGTGAACATGTGAGCACAGATTAAGAATAGAGCCGAACATGGGGCATGGTTTCCTTGGATCCAAGGAACAGTTTGATTTGGATGGTAGGGGGTGGGGGGACAAGTTCTGAGTCAAATTCTCAGGCTTCCCCAAGCATATGCCTTTTTCTCAGATCAGAGAACTGGGATTCTTGACCAGTTAGGAGGACGGGCACAGGGTTAGTGCAGAGGCTATGGGCCTAAGGAGTAATGGAAAGATGGGGACCTACAAAGCAACCTTAGTAAAGAATTTTCCGGGGGGCTCAGAGGACACAGCTGCAGCTAAGGGAAGGGGAGGAAGAAGATCCCCCTGCTAAGACCTGGTTGCCACACCCACCCCCATATCCATGAGAGCTGGCATGTTTCAGAGGCATGACAAGGAAGGCGACTTGGGAAATGCAAGGGTCCTGTTCAGGGGAATCCTTGCTTCCTTCCCCCACCTGCTTGCCCTCAGGGAGAACTCACCTGAAGAAGCCTTTGCAGCCTTCACAGGTCATCGCATTGAAGTGAAAGCCTGTGGCTCGGTCTCCGCACACCCCACAGATCCGGGGCACGTTCCGGTCAAAGTCACCAGTGTCAGGCAGGGAAGTGCTGGCTGCCATGGCCTCCATGCCTGCAAAGCAGCAGGTGCCCAGTGAGTGCCGGCCGGAGGCATCTGCTGCAGCCCATCTACCTGGAAGTTCAGTGGAGCTGGGCTGTTCCCTCAGGGCCTAGGCCTGAGTAGAATTCCTTGGTATCCTCTTTCTGGGGGCTCTCCACATCCCAGCTGACACCCCCCAACACAGAAGCAGGGCTCCCTGACCCAAGAAGGTGGGGAAGCTGCTCTTTGCATGTCTAAGGGCGAATCTGCCTATGCCCTGCATCTGCTGCTTGGGGTGAGGCGTTAGCCTCTCTGTGACCCACTGTCCTCACCTGGAATGGCGTTTTACTCTGTAGGGTGTGAGAAGGGCTATGGGGATGACGAGATGCACAGCACTGCTCTTAGCTCCTCCTCAGCAGCAGAGCTGCAGCAGGTCAGGGGCCTCTCTCTTGCCTAGTGCCTCCTTCCAAGAGAAAAGGGGCTCAGAATTCACATACGGGGAGAACCCCTAAGTTCCTACTTTCTTAAGGATGAGGGGATAGAACAAACTAATTCCTGAAATCACAGCCCTGTCATTCCAGCCCCTGTTCCTCACAGCACTAAGAGGCCTGCGTTCCTGCTGCCCTTTCTCTGTCTGTCCATCTGTCCACGCGTCTGTCAGATTGGTATTATTATCTGAACATTTTACACTTGACCAAAGGAGAAGAGGAGGTAGAGGGAACAAAATCTAAAAGTTTGGGGGAAAGAGCAGCTTACTTACACACCCCACCTAAGTAAAGGGGGTGCTTATTACTCTGCCTGCAGCTGTGATCCTGACTGTCACCAGCATGGAGCTGCTTGTGGGGGCACCTCAGTCACCCTAAAATGCTTTCAAACCCTGCTGCCTCCCTGTTATATCTGAGTCCCTACAGGGATCTTTCCCATTCATACTGGTCCCTTTGCCCAAGACAGCGGGGGCCCTCAGGCCAGAAGAAAAAGAGAGGAAATCAATTAGGAGGGACCGAATGCCCTCCCACCCCTGCAGCCCCAGGTGCCATGTGCCCCACGCTGCGGCAGGCAGGTAGGCTTGGGAGACCCTTGGAAGACTCCAACTTTCTTTTTCACAACTAGGTCTGCCAAAGCCATTAGAGTCTTATTTCACTTTATCTTCATATCACCCCAATGAGGTAAATGCCGTTATTATCACTCTCTTTACAAATGAGGCTCAGCAGAGCCCAGACCTTGCGGCATCGCTAGCAACTCCAATCATGAAATGCACAGAATACTTAATTAAAAAAAATTCCCTCAGAGACCCTCAAGTCAAGGAAAGGAAATGGGGCAGATAGGGACAGCAGGGCATCGTCAGTCCCAGAGGATGGGGACCGTGGTCACAGAGTAGATCCTCTGACTTCTGTCAGCTGTTGTGCTGCTGGGAATTTTCATATTATAGAGACACCGTGTGTCTTTTACAGTTAGGCTGACACTGTGAAGCTATGTTAGAGAGAGAGGGAGGAGAGACGTCCAAAAAAAAAATAAATAAATAAAATAACAAGGAGGGCCTCCCCTGGTGGCGCAGCGGTTGAGCACTGGGCTACAAAGCGGCCAGCAGCCTCTGCAGCACTGGTTTGATCCCTGAATGCCGGTGAGGGTCCCACAGGGAGCACAGCACAGACCTCTCCTGCTGCGCCTGCTGCTCCCCTCAGCAGTGTGTTTCGTCGGTCTGCCTGTTCTGTTCCCCACTCTGGTTCTGGTGAATTCTCTCACCCTCCCATGCTTCTGACTATACCCAATGCTTGTATAAATAAATAAACAAACAAACAAACAAACAAACAAATAAATCTTTGGAAAAAAATAACAAGGAATAGAAACCTTTGCGAGGGTGAAACTGGGGAGAAGCGTTGTAGAGGTTTATGTAGCACCCATATTCTATTTCTTTGAGTGGTAGCTATATGGTATCTCCTTCAAACATTATTTTATGTTTTATATCCCTGTCTATAAATATAAATATATATAATACTAATATATAATAAATGTTTTATATATGTAACATTTCATATATTAAAACAAAAATAGAAGGAAAATCACTTGTGGTCTGTCAACAGTCAACATTGTCCCTATAGCCCATCCAAGATCAGGCTAATCCTCCAAGCTTCTAGAATGCCACACATCTAAGAGGGGGGCAGGGCTCCCAGAGGCCCAAGACCATAGTGGGGCAACAGGAGAAACTGTCCAGGATGCTGTGGCTTCACCTCAGGTCACTGAGATGCCACAGCTCTTGGTCACTGTGACGTTATACAGAATTGGTGTGGTGCGGGAGACCCAGCATGCTATAGGTTTGGTGGGGAGAAGAAATAAAGAGTCTGGAACATGTGTGCATGGGAGTTGAGAGCTTGGGAGAATATTAGTCAAATCAGTCCCAAGAGCAATTCCATAAATTGATGTTATGCTGTGTGGTGCAGCGAGTACCATAACCTGGCATCATGGCATCGGGCATGGGGTGAGGAGAAGGAGCCAGGGGCTGGGGCAGGCCGGAAAAGAAGACTAGACAGGGCAGTCAGGTCCACAGTGAACAGGGTCATCTCAGCTGCGTGGGGAGAAAACTCAGCCCTGCTGAGGGTCATTTGCTGCTACCTACCCAGAAGCCAGCACCGGGATCAGCCTTCAGATGTGGAGAAGCAGCCCGGGAATCTGTCAGCCGAGGGCTGCCGTTCCCAGCAGTGACAGGCAGAAAGTGCAGAGGGCAGGCGAGGGAGGGGAAGGGCAGCCGGATAGGAAAACTCAGGCTTGCTACAGGCCAGCCTGGGGATACCAAGGTTTCCCTACTGAGCACCCCTCTGAGCCCCACCACCGCCAGCATGGCGCGGCTCTCAGCTGCAGGCTGCTGTGGTTCTGCTGACATGGACCCACATTTTCAAAGTCGAGGTAATAGTCACTTCCTATGGCCTCCCCTGCCCCTCAAATCCAGAAAGATAGAAAGGTTGTGGCTGATGAGGAGACACCCACCTGAAGGAGCAGGGGCACTGGTGAGTCCAACCTGGGGTGCCCTTCTGTGAGGTCTCACAGACACTTCAGACCAAAAGGACTCTGAAATGGAGAAAGGGAGACATTATCGCTTCAGCTCAGCACTGGCCTCTGGGCCAACCTTCTACCAGCCTAACGAGTGGGTATGAGCAGCTCTTCCTAGGGACTTCAGTCCGTGGATCAGGGACTGAAAGCTTGACAGAGTCAACTTGTTGGAGGCAGGTGTGCCATGTCATCACTGGCAGGGGTGAGGGGGTGGGAGCCAGGAGGCAGCCAGGACCCAGCCCTCCTTTGAGGCAGGGAGTTGTCAGCCGCCAGCCTGTGTGCAAGTGGAACAGCCTCCCTGCTATAGGTCCTCCTCCTTCCACAGTAGAGGGGGTCAAGGGAAGGGTTTCTTTCTAAGGGAGCTCTACTGCCCCAGTGTCCTCCACCCCAGATTTTAGGGGTACAGAGAAAAGCAGGGCCAGAGGGTGGCCTGGCAAGCTGCTGAGGGTGGGAGGGAGGCCATTGCCCCAAGCAGGATCACAGAAGAGCCTTGGGGAGCTGGGATTGTGCAGGCTAGGATGGCAGCCTGGGGCCCTGGCGTCTTGGGACGGCTTCAAAGACAGGTGTCTGGGATCTGTCTGTGGAGACAGAGTGTAGGCGGAGCAGGCGCTTCAGGGGTTAAATACAGCAACACACTGCCATCAAACAGGATGTTTTCTGCCATTTTTAGCTCTTCCCCAGACAGACCAACACCCCCGGCCTCAGTGAAGGCTGAAGGGAACCGACTCTGGTGCCCAGACTCTGAGTCTCGGTGGCATAACAGGTCACCAAGGTGGGGCTGGCAGAACTTCACCCTCCTGACTTCAATCCACACCCACACTTAGACACACATATGCACACACAGCGCCTACCTTCACCCTTCACTGACACCAACAGAAGGTGGCTGGAGAGGTAATAGGTATGAAGTGCCTGCCCCTGAACCCTGGCAAAAGGCCTTGAAACCAAACCCCAGTGGAGAACATCCAGACCCCCATCTTTGGTTTCTTGGTTTCCCAGTAGCCTGACTAGGCAGGGAAGGGTGCACCAAGGCCCTAAGGGGCCTCCTAGAATCAGACCCATTCTAGGACTGCAGCCCCATTGAGACCGTGGAGACCGGGTGCCTCCTGCTGGGATACTGCCAGCCCCTAGGGAATATCCCAGAGAGAATCTGAGCTGGGTTGGCCCACGCCCAAGGCTGTGGGTGGAGGCACACCTGAAGGGGACAGGCATGTTACTACTTCCCCCTGCTTGTACTACCAAGACCCCCCAAACCAACTATTCTTCTGGATTCTACCTCATGGCCTTATCAATCTCCTAGACTCCCTGCTGTTTCCTCAAGAAGACTGAGGTAAGAGAGCCAAGCGGTTATAGCAAGGACCATCACATTCATGTCCTCAGCCCCTGAGGTTTTCAGAAGTCAGACATGAGGTCCAGGTGGACAACCACCTTTGAACTTATGAAAGAGTTTCTTTTGTGTCAGGCTGCCAAGCTCTGCACACTTAAACTTCCTAACCCTGGGATGAGGAAGGAGCATCCCATTTCATGGATGGCACAACCAAAGTCCAGAACATTTCCAGTGACTTGCTGAGGGTCCAAGCAAGTGGCAGCACATGGGCTAAATTAGGACAGGCTGACCGCAGCGCCCAAGTGTTGCCCTCGCCACTGCCAACGCCTCCCTCCCCATGATAACCATCAGCGCAGACAACTCTTACTCCGTGCTGGGCCCTGCTCCAAATTCTTCACATCAGCTCACTCATTTAATCCTTACAACAGCCTTGTCAGGCGGGTACTGTTATCACCCCTATTTGAGGCGTGGGAAAACGAAAGCACAGAGACAATGATTGTCTTGGGGCCTGCATTTGAACCAAGGCGGTTGAGTCCACTCTGCTGCCTTCCTGAGCTCAGTCATCTCCTGCATCCTAAACCTTGACGCCCTCACTCCACTGAGTCAGAGAGGATGGAGAGAGCAAGCCCGGGTCATGAGGAAAGAGCCTATGGTGCTTTTCCTTCTCAGGCTCCTAAGATTGGGGGTGGCATGACTCAGCCAGCTCCCCTCATCAGCACCTCTTATCAGGGAAAACCCTGCCCAACAGACAGCACTCCCCTCCCCATGTGAATGTGCTCTACTGGAGGGTCCCTTTAGGAGAGATTATCTGACATTAAGGGCACAGGTCCAGGGGCATGGAAAGTGAGGCAAAGAGACTATAGAAAAAATAAAAAGGATCAGTGGAAAAAAGAGCTTAATCCCTCCCCCTTTGCAACACTCCATCCCACCCCCAATTCATGTTCTGAGTACATACAACATCCTACTGCTTTTGCTGGGGCTTCCCCAAGCACCCCCTCCTGGGTCTGCCTTAGAGATACCTGGCCCCCAGCACTGTGCCCGAGGAGCAGAAGGGGAGGAACTCAACTCTGCAGAAAGCCCCTGGCTTCCAGTCGTCCTGGGTCTGCATCCCACATCAAACCTCTGTCTGACCTTGTCTTAGCAAGAAATGAGAAGATAACATGTTCCTTCCAGTCATCAAAGCCACAAGCCCTGCCTCTCCTACACACTGCCTGTCGGTTCACACCAGCACCCGTTCCCATGGCTTCTGTACTGGCGGCATCTCAGCCCGGACCGCCTCGTGGGGTGGTGGCTACAGGGTGCTGGGGTAGAGCCCTGGGAAGGCGAAGATGGAAATGCCGCTGGCTTCACTTTACCATGTTCACCAGTCCCTCCCAGGAGTCCGGCAGCTGGTAAAACCGTGACCCTGGCCAGAGAAGCAGCAGGTAGGAGTCTGACCTCGAAGGTCTTTCTCAGCTGTGAAGGTGTGCACCCCCAAGGCTGGACTTCCCATCATCATCCGGAAATGAGATTCCCTCACTGAGCCTGCTCTCTGCTCCCTTGAGGGCCTCCAACATCTGTGCTAGTGCAAGTGGGGCTGCTCACCCTCAGATGAGTGATGTGGCCCCTAGTGGGTGCCATGGAAAAATGGAAGACTAGGAGAGGGGCTTCCCTCTGCCAGGTTGGGGCTGGATTGATCAAAACGGGGCCTTCAAAAAACTGTTGACATTGGCTCACGCTCCCACTCCTAGAGAGAAATGGAAAATTGCATGATTTCCCAGAAGAGGGAGAGAAAATTCTTCTTCCTAGAATTGGCAGAGTTATCCACACACTGGGCTCCCCGGGCGTTGGTAGGCCCGAGCCCGCCAGCCACAGCTGCCCACGTGTTCAATTGCATTCCCTTTTCTTGCTGTTTTTCATTTCATCATCCTTTTACCTCCACTCGTAGAGTGCTGAACACTGTCTGACACCCTCAATTTTTATTTACATTCTCTTTATTCTAGTGTAACACAGGATCCGCAACATCAGGCCAGCGGTGGTGCTCTTTCTGACTTCTACGCCTTCCCAACATGGGCCTTTTCCAGTCTCAGCATTGCCTCCCAGGAGAAACTGAGGGGAAGCAGAGTGAACACAAGGGAAAGTGAAGAGGAAAGTGTACTGTATAAGTAGAATTTGCCAAAGAATGTCTTAACCCCACCGTTCCCCCAGTTCCTCCACACAAAAAATATTTTAAATATGGGTAAGAACAGTTGGAAATGATGCCCAAAGTAAAACTCAGTAAATACCAATAACCCCAGAACATCTTAACAGCAAACTTATCTAGCCCAATCATCTTAAATCCCTTCTTGAATATTCTACTCTAGTATTCTTTACTATTTTTCTGCTCAAGAACTATGTCCCGCAACCACCCACTCTCTTTGGGGGCTCTATGCTAGAAGGTTCATCACACATGGATGGAACAGCCCCTGTGGTTTTCAAAGACCAACTCTTTGCAGACACTGAAGATGAACCATCTAGGTCATTTCTGGGGAAGTCTCTGGAGGACAGCCTGGGGAGGCTACCACATGGTAGCAAGTTAGGAAGAAGGCCAATTCCAAACCTACCAGCAAATTGTCATTAAAAAAAAAGAAACCAGAAAAATCTATGATGTTTATGATGTGAGTGAGGTTGCAGAGGAAGCTAGCCCGGGCTACATTTAATTTTGATTTAGACCTCATAAACCTCCCAGGTATTATCATAATTCCCACCTAGTAAGGTGGTAAATGCCAACAGTGTCAGCCTCCACTGCCTTCACCTAGAACAGTTTCCAGACCCTGAAAAGGGCTCATGGAAGGGGTTGGAAGGCTCCACCAAGACTTCCTGCCTCTTCTTTCTCTGGCTCAATTGTTTCTGGGGATGCTTGCCCCCAGTACTAAGAACACACAAAAGGTGGGCCTAACCCCTTAGTGACTGACTGATCATGGGAAATTAAATGGCCGATCACCCAGTAGTTTCCGGAAGAATTGCTCCTTATTAAAGGTGATTCTTAATAAACCTTTTGAGGTATGTACATCACCTCATAAAAGCTTTAGATTGACACCCCGAGCACTATCAGGACTTAGCAGGTCACCCACAGAACCAGGCTACAAACGCCCACCCTCCTAGCCACTCATAAGGCCATCCTGTCACTTTGGGGAGCACTGGTAGCTACTTGGAACTGAGCAGAACTTTGAGGCAGAACCCACGAAGACTAACAGTAGGGTAGGAGATACAAAGGTTACTAAGATATATTTCCACTTCTTATTGATTATTCCTACAAGCTGCTTTTTTCCAGTGGAAACTCTGCCCTCAGCTTTGTCAACAAGATTGCTAGGTTGATTACTGCTCTCCAGGTAACAGGCAGGCCATGCTCTGTCACTACCGGAAGGCGTGGGCAGCCACAGCAGCCTGCGGAACATAGGGAATCAGCATGTTCAATAAGCTTCAACCCAGTCTTTCTGGCTTTAGAGCTGAAAAAACAGACCATTAGGAGGGAAGTGACTGGTCCGCGGTCACACAAGGAAGAGTGCCTCTCCACCCCTTCCCCCCGCCCCCGCCCTGGCCAGGTCCCAATGGTTCACCATTAGCCTAAGCAGCTTTTGGGGGGATAGTGTGACCTGAGAGAGTAGTGGGTCCCGGCCATGTCATACTGGCTCCATCCTCACAAGTCGTTGCAGAGAAACACAGCAGCAGGCAG